ACACACACACAAAATCTCTCTCTTTCTCTTAAAGATTAGAAAGACACAGAAGTCCAACAGAAGAAAAAACAGGATGTGGTTGGATAATTAAAGGTAGTAGCCTTTAATTGAATGAATATACACATAGGTGCTAAAATAGGCAACTTTAATCTTGGCTTTTTCTAACTTTGAGGTCTTGATTTCGTAGTCATAGTAACATCTGTTTAACAGGGTATGTCTTTGCCTAGGTTTGGTGGAAAGAGTAAATCTGGACCCTTTAAATGTCATCTCATATCTTTGAGTTATAGTAGAATTGTAGAATGGTTTGTGTTGAAAGGGACCTTAAGGATCACCCAGTTCCAACCCCCTGCCATGGGCAGGGACTCTTACCACTAGACCAGGTTGCTCCAAGCCCCATCCAACCTGTCGTTGAATGCTGTCAGGGATGGAACAGCTGCAGCTTCTCTGTGCAACCTGGGCCAGTGTCTCACCATCCTCAGCAGGAAGAACTTTTATCCTGATACCTAATCTAAATTTGCTCTCTCTTGACACCACATAGTGCATATCTACATTCAACACAATCAGTCCTCTGTCTTTTGAGCTAGTAGGGAAACTGTCGTCTCTAAATTTGTGGTCTGCTTTAAGCTAGAAGAGATGGACACTATTCTAAAAAAATTTAAATACATATTTACCTTAGAGAAGTTTGAAGACACAAGAACATTAGGTTCCATTTCAGACTTTCCAGGAAATCATGCTATACTTTGTGTTTTCTGTGAGATTTTCTGTGCATATTGGACTTCTCCCATTTCCTTTTCTTATCACTTTTCTGATTTGTTTTCCTCTTACCTTTTCAGTCCCGGTTGTCCCCTTTGGCTGTCTCATCCCACACACGATCTTCCTGCCTGTCTTAGTCTGTTTCTATAGATCTCACAGCTCTGCTTCCTATTCTTTTTCTTAATCCTAAATCCTTATTAATTGTTCAGACAGACCTCTTCTTTCAGGTCTTAGTCCCAATATCCATTCCCTGCCAGTTTCAATTCTCAGCTCTTTATAGTTTTCTTTTTATAACCTGTTCTTTTTGGTGTGGTGTTTTTGATCAGTTCTCTCTTCATCTGAATTAGAGAGCTTCTTCCTTTTTGTGGCAGGGCATTGGAGAAGTAACTGAGAGCCTGAAGGGGATGACTATCTTCTAAAAGGTGGTCTGGTTTAGTCTGATAACCTCCACTGTGTTTTACCTTCTGACATAAGGATTTTAAAAGTGGATCACTAGTGCTAAAAAAATCTAGTAACCAACAAACCTAAGAAGGGTTAGTTTTGTTGGTGCAGTGAATAAAAGGGATCTGAAGAGACGCATGGCTTAGATTTGTGTAGTAAGAAAATCCTTTTGTACAAACTCGGTTGTATTAAAACCATACTATGAAAGCCAAACATCTTTAATATAAATGTCTGAATATTTTAGAATTCTGTCCCAAGAATTTATTTGGTCCTTCAGGTTTCTAATACCAGTGGAACCCCTCAGGACAATGACATTCTTATAACATCTTCAGTAGTGAGGATCCTTTATTAGCTACATTAAACATTTACAGCCCAGTGTCTAATCTCCCCAGTCCCCTGAGGTATGCCAGACTTGGAATGAGTTTTTGTGGCATTTACATTTACCTTAATGATCTGTCTTGAGGCTGTTTTGTTTGGGATTTGAGTGGGTTAATCAGTGTGTTTAGATCACAAATTGAATCCTTTCATAACAATAAATGGGGAAGTTAATTGAATTTTATTTTTTCTCCATGGTGCCATATGCAGCATATTCAGGCTTCTTCCATTTCTGTCCTCAATAGTATTAAAGAGTTCTAGGTTTAGGTATTCAGCATAATGGGCAGTTAATAGGTGGAAGATTTGTTTGTTTATAAATTCCATAGCTAATTTCATGAGGACTTAAGAAATCACTACTAATCTTGTAGTTAATTAGAGAATCGTGCTAGCAATACCGCTGCATCTATGAACCCTTCTCCTGCTCATATGTGATTTTGGTTGGTGTTGCTAAGAACAAAAATCTTTCCACAGTACTGGTTCAGAATATGAAGCAACTGTCTACATGTCTGATTTCCTGGGGTTATTGCACTGCTGCTCATCACTGCAGCATTAGAGTCTGTATCCACAGATCCTGGACAAAGTTCTTTTCATTGTTCAGAGGGGCACAAAAAGAACTGGAAGCTGGATGCAAGTGGCCAGGAAAACAGGCGCCTCAGGAGAAAAATGCCTGGCACTTGAATGTTGTGGCTTGGCTCATGATCTGAGACTATCCCTTATTTTTGGCATGCTCCCATGTGTGGATGTATCCATATATTCACAGGAGCTGACTGTGTGTGGGTGTATGGGAAAGTTGCTCTGCACTGCCTGTGCTCTTAATGTAAGACTTTGTCTTCTCATCTCTCACCTGACCTATTTAGTAATCACTGTGTCTCACAGCACTGTTCTCTATTGTGCACATCCTTACCGACACACAGTTAGGTAGAAACCTCTTTGCTCCCGTATGAAAGCATCCACAACGATATCGAATGCCTTGTGAATTAATTTTGTGCCTTTAACTGATTTGTTATAAATTAACTCTTTTTGCCTGTATTGCACAGCACCACCCTATATTTAGAATGAGCAACAATCCCATAGTTTCAGTCCTATTATCAATCATTAAGGATTTGCTTTTGTTTTCAAATAGCAGCAATGAAGCACATTGAAAATCTTGGCTGTGTGGTGCATTGTGCATATTTGCTGTGTTTTATGATAAAAATGAGGGCTGGGAATGTTTCTTTGTAAGGACAAAGCCACCCAGCCCAGAATTGTTCTATAACCACCAAGAATAGATGGGACATAATTAAATTTGTGAATCACGACTTTATTCTTCAATTGTTAAATGAAACCCATAAATGTCACCACTAAGCTATCTATTGCATATTACTGTTTTCTTTTCAAGCATTTTGGTGAATGTCTTTAAAATTCCAAGTGTTCATAAGGTCCTTTTCCTTTGGGCTATCAAAAATGATGGTAGCTAAAGATTTCAGTTCTGTGTTAGCTGCGTTGTTTTGACATGTCAAAGCTGTAGTCCCTGTTAAATGTATGTATTCCTCTACGAAGGAAGGAATTCAACAGAAGAAAGACTTCATCTGTGGGGACAGTTTATGAGCCAGTGGTGTAGCTCCCTAGTACTCTTTGGAGGTGTAGTTGTGTCTGCTGCAATTCACTTTTTTAGTTCTATATATGAATTTAACAAATGCTTCTTTCAGTAAGGGCTGCAGAGGAATCTGCTGAATTGAAATGAGATAGCCATTCAATAGTATCTACAAAGACCATAAGGGTTTCCTGTCAGAGCAGGTTAAGCAATAATAAATAAGCAAATTGAATCAGTCTATAAACCAGAGCATCAGAGCACATAAAGCAAATTTCGTAATTGGCCCTCCTTCCATTCACTGGTCTCTCAGTCCCTATTCTGTAAGGAAACATTCTGGGAGGTCACAATGAGCACTGTTCCCATCTGGCATTTCTGAATATGTGGAGGACTGACATCACTCTTGGATATCTGTGTTGCTTCAGGAGAATCATGAGCTCTTCCCTTCTTTCCATCTTCTTGCCTATCTCTGCTTTATATTCTTGCATCTCATTAAAAGTTGTTTCCCCTGCTTCTAGTTTTCCTGGGTTCATAGCTCTTCTGGTGTTCAAATTGATTTTCAAACATGATGCTGGCAGCATTGTTGATGTGTCCCCAGTGTCCTGCACTGGCCTCTGAGGACTGTGAGGACTTTGACTGCCATAGGTGCTCCCCTACTTTCCTCCCTGAAACCACTGAGCTTCTCTTTGTGCTTCTAGTCTCAATGGACCACAAAAATAAGAGCCATAATCCTCATTAATTGTTAGTGCTGTCTTGTTCTCTTATCAGAATGAAGAGCTTCTCAGTAGATGAATCTCTCATCCTCTTAATCAGTTTCTTTCGAATGGCAGGAAGGGCTGCAGCACAGTTGTTCTTTCTATTTATCCCAGAACTGTTGGTGACTTTATGTTGTTTCTTGTTATCCAGTTACCAAAATGGTTTATGAGTTGATATTCTCTTCTCCTTCTGGGATACTTCATATGAGGATTTAAATCTCTTTCCTGCTACTCCCCTACTTTTTTGTGCCATTGTTTGTTTAAAGACCTCCAAGGAGAAAAAAGAACTTCATTCAGTGATTCAGTTATAGATAATCAAGTACTCAAGAGATTTCATATGTTTTCTTTTTATTTAATGAGATCTTAGTAGGCAGCTCTCTTGGTACTTTCCTTGTGGACTCACATACACTTTTTTGTCTTTTGTTCTTTTTGTGGGTTTGTTTGGGATTTTTTTTGGCTGCAAGAATGGAATGGCTGTGGAAACCTAAATCTCCTGTTATAAAAAATGCTGTCTGAGAGGAATTATTCACTGTATTTTTATAAGTTCTCTTCTTCTCTGAGAAAATATGGAGATGCATCAATTTTGAGTGTAGATGGAATAATGTCTGTTTTGATTTAAAAGAAGCCTTATATCAAAATAACATGGTGCTGGACAGCATTCTCTGAAAGCAGGCTGTAACTTTCACTACATTAAATCATTTTTGTAGATCTTTAAGAGTTCTGAAAAAGAAATCTCTCTTATTTCAGTGTGTAAGAGCAAACCTTAAACTCTTGTTCTAGGGATGTTCCTTTCTTTGCAGTTAATAATTGATGTTGACATCAGAAAATGAAGTAAGCAATTTAACTGAATCTTTGTTTTGGTATGAAAGAGTTGGTATGAAAGAGTTGAAAATTGAAATCTTTGATAACTAAAATGGGTGAAGCTAATGATGAATAATATGTTCCTGCTTTTAAATAGCTGTTAAGATTTAGATAGTAGAAAGCTTTTCTAAAACATTAAAAAAAAAACCACAAAACCCACAACAAAACCTAGAAGCATACTGTAAATCTTATGAAGTTCTAGAGGCTTTGGTTAAAGAGGTTTTTATTTGCTTTTGATTTTTCAGCCATTCCTCTTGGAATTATAGTCGTACGAGGAGACTGTGACTTGGAGACCTGTCGTATGTACATTGACCGTCTACAAGAGGTGAGATTTTGGAGAATTCAGGTATCATTTGTTAACCTATATTCTGCTTCTTCCCGTTCTGAGTGTAGAGATATTTAATAGTTGCTACAACCATATATTGAGAGTATTTCAATTTACCTACCACTGAAAGTAAAGCTTTAGAGTCATTGTATAAAATAATATCATACAGTATATGATGATAACATAAAATGTATGATAATAAAAGCAGGAGTAGCATGGAAACATATTTTCTAAACAGGAAATGAAAAATCATACTGAATCCTTTCAAATTATAACAGAATTGACATTGATGGGCATGTTTATTTCTCCTTGAACTGAAATGGAATACCAGGACTTTCCACGTACCTTGCTGAAACTATATAAATTATTGATTAGAAAGTGTATTATGTAAGGATAAACAACATGGTATTCAAGTGGGTCTAATTATGTAAATTTCATTCTCTGAGACTGGCATGGAGTAATTTGAGACACCAATAAACACTATAGATAACAACTAGATTTTTCCAAGTATACAGAAAAGTATACTGATGCAGCTAATAATAATGTTGCCCTTATTGTCTTGAGAGATCATTCTACAACACAGCCTGGGAATAGGAGACTCCAAATTGTGGTGTGTATACGTTTAGCAATATAACTAAAGGATTTTCATTAACATACTGTCTCTGGTTTTAATCTTTTACTGATCTTTCTCAACAACATTTGCATATGTGAGGACATTATGTAGTTTTCTAAATAGGTTGTCCAGTTTATACAGGAGCTATGAACCTCATCTCGCTCATTGGACTCTTTAGGAGCCACTGGCTTCCCTGCGGTTTTGAAACTCTGCACTGGCAACCTGAATATGGGTCTTAGTATTTCACTCCAGGCTTTTGCTTTTTTGCATGTCAGCCAGGATTCCCTTCATCAATTGCAGTTCTGAATATTCAGACCTCAGTTGTGCTATTACTATCAGTCATAAAACAGCATTGTAAGGTGATACCTATTTGAAGTATTCTGTGCTGGGAACTTACAATGAAATAATTGTGATGATATTCTCAGCAGGTTACAAATGTGATCTCATACTAAGCTCAGGCAACTTAATGGCAAGTATCAGGTGGTGAGTAGTACAGCCCTTGAGTAAGCACAGGTAGAAGTTCTGGTTGAATTACTCATAGTAGTTGTGGAGAAACTGTGTTTCTCCAATTTTCTGCAGGGTTTGTGCTACTATTTTTTTTTTTTGTGTCCTTAATTTGGCTCAGACCCATTTGCTGGGAATGGAGATGCCAAGGTTTTCTACACTCTGCCAACTTGCATACCAACTGGGGAGCTATGGTCTGTAGGTCAGGCTTCTTGGTAGGCTATGTCATGAGCTAAAACTGTTTGTCAAAATCTTCATTAAAATAAGTTAGATTCCTAACCGTGCTAAATATCAGGGCCATTCTGATATGACTTCCCTGACATGAAGGGAACTGCCCGTAGCTTTCTTCAGTGCATTAATTACTCATTTGAAAAAAAAAAAAAATTACAATAGAAATTTATAGATTTTAGCATGTTTTGTTGCTGGTACTCTAAATTTTGATAGTTTCCATGGAATAAATACCTCTGTGATATGGTAAAGTGCCATTAACATAACCTCAATATTTTAAAACCTGTTTTTTTTTACCAAATGCATGCAAATCTAAACTTCAGGTGAGCTTTCCATGACTATTTAGTGGTGTTTGTTTCATATGTTTAAAACCTGTGAGAAATACTTTCAAAATTATTTCTGTTTCCCAACTACTTCAGATAATAAAACTACAAGCAGTTCTTGTTGTTTTAATCTTTTTCATCATTGCTGTGTCTTTCATCCTCCTGCTAGGACCTGCAGTCAGTAACTTCTACTACACAGAGAGTTCATTACCAGGTAAGATAAACTTTCCTTGTAGTATCAGAACAAAAAAAGGGTTAGCAATTTGGGCTGCACTCTTTGTATTTGAAGCCAGGTTTCCTTTTTTTGTTAGATAGGTGTATGTTAGATGAATTTCTGATTATCGTTTACCCCCAAATGGAGGAGTTTCCTTCTGCCTTTCCTCGGACAATCCTTTTCCTTGCAAACCTTATGGAATTGTATTTAAAATTTGCACAGCATGATAATGTGAGTAGTATTGCAATAGCAGTGCCTTGCATACTGAAATGAATGAGAGAATGTGACCTGTGAGACAAAGGACAAAAGTGTTTCTCTGAGAAACTGAACAATAACATGTTATATTGCATAGCTGAAGTAATAAAAGAAAAAAGGTGTGCTTGCAAGCCTAACCCCTTAATAACTGTGTGCACCGCAGTCATCTACCTTTAGTTTAGCATAATCTTCAGAGTAGTTTTTTGCTCCATCCTGGGCACAAATGTGTCTTTTGCATGTGACAAACGGGTTCTAGTTTTAGGTGGCTAGTTTCTAAAATTGCTCTCTTTGTACATTTTACAACATTATTCTACAATTTATGCAATACAGAACTTGCCTTTACAGTTGGAAGCACTGTTCTGGAATGTATATTTCTCTCAGTAAAATATTGCACTGCACAGTGCTTAAATTTGGAGTAAACTAACTCAGACTAACTCTACTGACTCCCGAGCTGATCTGACATTAGCACTGAGAATTGACACAAACCATGGTCAGTTGCCACAGCACCTAAGATCACAAGGCAAGTTTGCATAGTCTCAGTAGCCATTTCCTAGATTTAACAATGCAAGTCTTGTTTAGGAGCAGCAGGAATGAGTTCACTGGGAAAGCATACAGACATCCAGCTGAGAGGAACCCATTGCAATGAAATTGCAGATAATTTCTTGGGGCTTAATGATTACCTAGGTGGTACAGAATTTCAGTTTAGCAAAAATGCCTGTAAATGCGCTGAAGGCAGAAAAGACACTATGAGAAAATGCAATTTGGCATGTTTTCCTGGAGCTGTGTTCCTCATTCCAGCTCATGGTTTGTTTCTGCATTTCCCTGCCCAATTTTAACCTCATATTTTTTACATTTGTATCAATCATTGCCCAGGAACTGAGTTTCAGAGCAGTGTTAGTGTCTAGTGAATTGGCTAATAAACCAGCATGTATTACTCTGTTCCACTCATTATAAATTAACCTAAGTGGTTGCTGACTGCTCCATGTGTAGGAAACTGCCTGAGGTAAAATGAAGAGCTCAATCTGTGTGTATGGAGAGGGCCAAAAGAGAGTATAAAATGTCAGAAATCAGCTCCATACTTGGCTCTAACCTCTGCAGTCATAGCAGTATAGAAATTAATTGTCTAGGCATCTTCTCTAGTGCACATCAGTGTGAAATCCCTAATATACTATCATTTTTTAATGATACTTCCATTTGAATGCACCACCCTCTGTGTCTTTTCTTCAGTACTTGTTTATCCTGATTCTTTGAACATTGGTTTATTCTCAGTGGGTCATTCCTAAAAACTATCTTGTAAAGTTAATTTGAGGATTGTTCCATGTTTGTTGGTTCCCCTCTACATAATGCAAAAGTGGGGAAAAACAAGGGGAAAACCAGGAAAAAAAGAGCGTGAATATCTGAGTTGATGGCACCATCTTCTTACCTCACTAATAAGGTGTCACGGGTACTTTTAAGACTCTTAAATGCAGTTCTCTTGTGTCATTCCTTTGCAGCTCAAAACATTGAGAGTCAGCAGAATCATCAACAAGCTCAGATAAATTATGCTAGAGTTAGTTTTCATTCTGTTTTGTTTCTCTAATAAGTTTACTGCTCAAAAAATATCATTCTCATGGACCTGAGACTTCCCAAGCTAGTTCTGCAGTTGAACTGTAATAAGTCTTGGAAGGAACATATCACAATATATAATTTGTGACTTGAATTTGCATTTACTAGCATTATCTCTATCTTCATTTTCCAGCGTTATGTACTTTGCTAGGTCTATGAATTTTCACTCATTTCTCCTCTTTGTATAGTCTACCCTTTGAGTAGGCACCTTTGTTTTTCGATGTTTTCTTCCTTTTGCCTTTGCTCCCCTTTCTGCAAACAGTGGGATAAATATTAAGCTCTATTAAGCTTTGTGCATGTAGATATATAGACATTAGCAAACCTAGTGGATTTCAGAAAACTCTTGGCTCTCCCACATACACCTCAGTTGCCATACACGTAAATCCATAACTCCATCCCACAGCTCCGTAAGCCCATACTAGAGAAAGACAGATGTATTTTAATTTTGATGCTTAAACCGCTGAGATATGTAATTTCACTTTATGGACTGCTATGTTATCACTGTCTTCATCTCTCCTGTAATGCAAAGAAGTTGGGAGACCAAAAACTGCACAAAAACCTGAGCAAGTTTTATGGGATCAAGTAAAATCCATGAGTCTAAATATGGGAAAAAAATGAGGCTGTTTTATTTTTGCCAGGGTAGCTACAAACACAGATATCGTGCATCAGAAGGTAATATGCATATGTATTTTTTTTAGTAGAGCAAAGTCGGTAGGTTTCTGCAATAACATTTCAAACAAGATCTGCTGCCAGGACTATTAGCCAAACTCTAGGGCACTGAAGAAACAACAAATGAGTCTGGAGTTATCTTTGCCTTTCTGTCCTGGATAACCAGAAAGGAAAGGCAGTAAAGAAAGTTCCAGTCAATCTCCAAGACAGAAGCTAATAAGATGAGTCTTGCAAAAGCTGTCATGATACCAAATGAAATTAATAACATTTTGTAGCAGTATCATGCCAAGCACTGATATGCATTCATCTAGCTGAGAAATGAGTGTCCATCAAAATGCTAATTATTATCAGAGTTACTTGAAAAACAACACATAGTGCACGCAGGCACCTTGGTGACCAAGCAACTGGGGAAGGTAAGAACTGGTACATATCTGAACAACATCAGCCTGAGCTCATTTTTAATCAGGTAGCTGAAAAAGTGTCAGATGCTTTTAAGTAAATCAAAGAGCAATGTCTGCCTCTTAACATATAAGGGCATCATTTGCTCTGTATTCACTTTGGAAATTGTTTTACCAAGTCTGACTGAAATGACAACGTCCTTCAGCATTCTCTGAGATTTTCTTCAGTTTAAAAAAGCAAATTACTTCTTCCCCATAGTCTTCCCACCAGCCTGGGAATTGAATTGATTAAATTTGCATTTTTCTGTTGACACATTCTTTATTTTTTTCATAACTTTTTCTCACACATGGCTACTCAGCTAAGAAGTATTTTAGAAATAAGCCAGTTCTGCAAAAAAGTAAGATTAATTTCTGAGAAATATCTATTACTTCTAGATTTTCTTAATGATATAAACACAAGGCAGTGTAAACAGGAAAATATATCGGAAACTGAACCTTTGAGAATCTATATGAATGTTCCAGATGTGTTGGTTTGAAGCACTGTAAACTTTAATTTTGTGTTGCTGTTTCTGCACTTTTATATACAAAGAAGCCTGCTTTCTCCTTGAAACCACATACATGATGCCAGCTGCCTGAGGGAATGGTAGAGTTTGTTACTTGGAGTCTCTCACTTAGGCTTCTAAAGGGTGCCTTTCTAAAGGTCTGCTGCAGCTCAGGCTGGACTAGTGGATTTCTGTGTTATGCCAGGGACTTAAGCATTCATAGCCCCATTGTCCCTTCTCTCTGAAACCCCATTATTCCTTGAAATCGCGTTCTAGAACTCACTCTTTCAGCCAGCTTTAATTTCTGGTGCTGGACCTTCAAACAACTACTGACCTGATATAGCTGTGCAATCCCAATGCAACAGTTGTTTGTCCTGCATAGTGCTGTCAGGAAAGGTGGTGGGCTCCTCTGTGGTATTCTGAGAAGCCCCAGTGAGATATCATTGTATTCTGGTCTGTTTTCACCGATCTATGCCCATGGGCTTTCTGTACTCAGCAATATTTTTTTCAAAGGTACCTTTCCTCCCCATTGCTTTTTTTTCTTTTCTTGCCTTGTGGTTTGGTGTATCACTCTGTGATCTGCTGTCTGAAGGAGGAGTAAAGTTTAAACTTGAGCTAATTTGTGCCTGAATTTACATCATTAGCAGATGTGCTGATTTTACTGCCTAAGATGCAAGTAAGGATAGAATCTGGCTCTACAGAGATTTTGGATGTGTGCCTGAGATCCATGCCATTGTGCTTAGCCCTGTGCAGATCTATTTGTGTTTAAAAGTAATGTTGTCCCAGTGGCTTTCGGAAGTCGGCTGACCGTTCACTGGAAGCATGGAGCAGAGCCATGACCACCCTCTGCTTTCTGAGATCCCTTTTACCTCTCCAGCTCAGTGAGAGCTGAAAAGCAAGGGGCAGCTGTTTGACTCCTTGGTGAGTACAGGTCAGGAAGAAGGTCTTTGTTCCTCCCCACTCATTTGATTTGGCTCCTCAAGTAATATCTGTTGGTTCTCAAGGAACAGGTGTTCTTAGCCAGAATGGGAACACATTGATGCAGGATGTCTGTCTGTTTGGCTGGTGGTGGTCCCCAGGTCTGCACTCTTTATATTCTGAGTGTAGAAGATAATGTGTTTTCTTTTTTACTTTTATGTGAATTTGGAACACACCAGAGGCAGGCAGAGTGGATAACTGCTTTAAGTGGCAGATCAGTGGAGGAGGGAAAGAGTGTAAAAAAAATGGAGCTGGAATAAAGGAAGGTGACAGACACAGAAGAAGGAAATATAATTGAAGTTCACGGCTGTGTAATAGTGATGTGTGTCTTTGACTTCTTTCACCTCTCTCTGTTTCTGTGTCCCCACAAATAAGTGGGGCTGTAGTTAGCTGAGAAAGCTGGTTTTGATGCAGAGCTTTTCGGTATTTTGAGCTGAAGGGAAGGGGATAGCTGAGGATGTGGATGAAACTAACCATATCAGTTTACTCTTTTCTATATTACAGCCAAACCCTGATGTCAGTGAGAAGCAAATCCAGTTTGAGTTATCTAGGTTTTGCACATTGTCCAATATCAGTACAGCAAAATGAAAAGAAAAGCAGAGACTATAAAATAGTCCTTTTTAGAGGAAAAAAAAAAGTTTATTTTTTTTTAACGTAATTTCTCTGCCCTATCCAGGACCAGGAAAGCTCTTTCCCCAGAGTACTTTCTGTTCAGAGGCTCTCTCCTAGATGGTGCTTCCTAGATGGTAAGTACATCTCCCCTTTCTTGTGCCTAGCATACTGCTTGCTTCCGGTGTGCACGTGAAGGATAGTGCACCTAAGAGTATTGCTATGGCAGAGTAACTGTTTCTGCTTGTTACACTAAGTAGGTGAAAAAGGAGCTAAGAACCCCTTTTTCCCCCCTGAAAAATAAAACAGGCCCTTCATCTAACAAACAAAATGCTGTAGCTTTGTCACCCCAAGGAGACATGTTTTGCTAAGGCTGATTAGAGGTTTAAGGTTTAGCATCTCTGCTGTGATGAGCAGCACTTACTGCATGGCATTGTCTGGAGTCAGAGTGCAGCTGTTTGTGGCAATGTGCTGCAGCTGGTAAGGCTGCGTTCTTATTTCTCTTTAAAATACTATAGTGTTTAGGTGATAGAAATGTACCTCCCTTTTCCTGTAAGGTTGCGCTTGATGTAACTCCCTGGAGAGCTGCACTTGTATTTCACCCAGACTTTGACAAAGCAGACAGCTTATCTGGGCTTTACATCAGGCTCCAGAGCACTGAAATTAGCAGCTAAAAGCATCTGCTTTTGCAAAAGCTTCAGTGTGGGAAAACTGAATTTGTTATTGTTTTAAACAAAACCAATTTCTCCTTGGCAATTTCTAATCACTCTTGTTTGTGTCTCATAAGGGAAATCGATAAAAATCATACTGAGAATCTGTTTGGGTTTTAGAGAAACTGGGTGGATAGATACATTCAGGTTTTGTCTTTAGGGATTTGATATTCCCTTGCAGTGCCAAAACCTACAATGCTACATCACTGTGCTCTTGTGTCAAAACTCCAGAGTGAATGAATCTGATTTTACTGGCCAAACTAAATGCAAAGCAGAAACAAAAAACAAAAAAATCACATCTGATGAAGAACACTGTAGGTGAAAAAATGCTTTTAGTTTAGTAATGTAAATTATGTGGCAGTGATAAGGTTCATATTAGGTTATTATTTAGCGAATCTACCTTCATGTGAGTTTTTGTGAGCAGCATGCATTTTCCTTGAGTGCATTGCTAATTCAGGATGAATATCTGTGGCCATGCATTTGATATACAAAGAACTTTCAAGCACATTATTGTTCTTTAGATGCAAAAATTGAATTAACCCTATTAGACCCATTGATTTTATTATATGCTTACTACATTCTCATCAAAACAATGCAACATTTTCTGTCACATATTTTAATGTAATCAATTCTTCTTATAAGCCTGAAATCCATTTTATATATTTTTAAAATATCAATTTCAAGTTAATAATTTCACTGAATAATGTTTTGTTAAGCCTAACCTTTAAATTCACCATTTAAAGGGATAAGAACATGGACTTAATGAATGAATCAGATTGTGTTCTTGTGAAACCACTGTGACTTCCTAACACAGAGGTTGTCTTAGTGGTAGTGATATTAGTTCAGCCCATCTTGTCCATGTAGTTCTGCTCAGGCCATTTTCTTCACTGCAGTTTTGTTGTTTCTCTGTCTTGCAGCAACTTCTGCTGATCGTTTTTACCGCATTGACAGATCTCAGGTAAATCTTTATTCAGTTACCATTTCTGTAGGGTTTTTTTAAAGCTATGTCAAATGCAGCTTAAAATGAATTATCTGCTATTCCTCTTGTGCATTATAAAATGCTACTGATGTCTGGGGAAAAGTAGAGAAAAAAATTCTGAGCCATTTTGCAGTTGATGTAATTCACATTGTTTCATTGAAGTTTTATATCTGCTGACAATCTGCCCTTCTATTACTACAAATCTGATGTACGGATCAGAATGTTCTACATTCATCATCCTTATCGAATTTTACCAGGGGCATCTATGTGGCACCAGGGTATTTGAGTTTATCTTTTCAATGATGCTTTTACTCACCAGATGTCTTGATCCTGTATGTGTAATGTGAAAATTAAGGTGATGTTGCAAGCTGAGAATTACAAGCACAGCTGTATCAAATATTCCCAAAGAACCCCAAAACAGAATGTAGCTCTGTTGGATTGAAACCTGTGGTATAGATCTGACAGTCTGAATATATTTTCTAAAAAACACTTTGAAAATTTTGCAGAGTTTTTGGTGTTCCTGATTTGTAGCCAGAGCAAGCCAATTAGTGGCTCAGTATTAAGTGCAGACTGTTGATTTAGCACAGTGGTCATTTGTATCTGGTTCCCCTGAGAACTGTGTAAGCCGTTTCTGAATCACATGAACATACGACTGTTTCCTAGCAAGAGCAGCTGGTGTTTTAGTTCAAGCAGAAGGAGCTATGGCTTTAGTTCAGAAGTCCCAGGTTCAGTGTCTGCATGTAGCCACCATGGGACTTGTTTGCGCAGTGATATAAATGCTTTGATAAAGTTGCACTTTAACATTTGGAAAACAAGAATGAAGAAGGTGCTGCTACAGGTTAAACTGGAGGATGTTACTCTGTTTGGCTTATTCTGCATTTCTTCAATACCTGGCTTTGTACAGATGGTCATCTTTCCCTCCCACTCATTTGCCCTGTGTTTTTGTGATGGAAAAGATCAATACTGTGTGATAGTCCCAGTGCACAAATGATGGGAAGTTTTGCCTACATAGACAAGCCTACTCACACTTGATGGTTTTTGAAGGACAATGAACCTTCAGTGTTAATCCCCCCAAAAAAAAGAGGAATTGAAAGAGAAATCTTTGGTAGCGGAGAGGTGAAACCAGAATATAAAAGCAGTGGAAGTCATAAATGCAGTGGAAGTCTGGGAGAATATCCCCAGACAATGAAAATATCTGTCAGCCATCATAGGAGAACAAAAATTAGGTGTTCATTTTCATTTTGCAATGCAGACTTTGACTTTATGGGTAGGCTTCCAGTTTCCAGCTGAATGACAAAGTGCCACCAAGTAGCAGCCTTTTAAGTGTTGCTGTGAGTGTGAAGTTTGCTGGTTGGGAATCTTGTTTGGCCTGAAATCACTGGAGTATTTATTGGTGACTGTGGTGGCATTGGTTTTAGGAAGAGTGCATGTGTGTGCACTTATATAAATACACAGAGTCCCATGAATGCTCTTCAGAGATCCTAAGGTGAACCCAACTTTCTTATAGCCAGCTGGGTGCTCTGAGAGACCAGGGATGATACAGGCTCATTACTTGTTCCTTCTATCACTTCAACAGGAACATTTGCACTTTGTGACGGAAATTTCACAGGACGAGATTTTTATTCTGGACCCAGAGATGGTAATGTCACAGCAGGTGGGGACACCACCAGGAATGCCTGATCTGGTAGTGGAGCAGGCCTCTGGGTGAGTGGTGCTGGGATCTAGCATTCCACAGGTATATTAGAGTTGGACATGCCTTTTCTAGTTCCCTCTTCTGAAGGACTGGGAGATGTGTGAGGGCAGATCTTAGGAGGAGAGCTGACAGGATCAGATACAGCCATGGCAATGACAGAAGGACGGTGGAATAACATCTATTTCATCCTGGAGCACACAGCAGGACTAACGCACTTCGGCACCTTTTGATCTTCTCACACTCCCTCACTGTGCTCCACCATAAATCTGTACCCATTGAGTTACAAACCCCTTCTCTGCATGGTCAGGGATCTGATACCACCGTATAAAGCCCTGAAGCCCTTTCTACCTAAGCATGATAGTAAAAGTGTCTCTGTTTCTTCTCATCATCTGGGCAGACAAGAAACAGTCCTATTTGTCTTTAGTGAGTCTTGTACTCACAGTGAACTGAGCTCTTTTAGCTTGCTATGGGCTGAAAAGTGCTGGGAGCCAGTAAGCATAAGACAGCTTCAAAGTGGAGCACACAAGGTAATTTCTGAGCTGTAAATGTCTTCCTTCCTTCTTCCCTCCCTAGAATATCAGATTGGTGGAACCCTGCAGTCCGAAAGAGGATGCTGAGTGACAGTGGCCTTGGCAAGATTTCCCCACACTACGAGGTACCTGACAAACAAAAGGATGCCAACCAGACACATATGCTGCAGTAAGAACCCTCTGCATTTCTCTTCCTAATGATGCACTGTCACCATTACCACAGACAACTTCTAATGGCTGCTTTAAGCTTAATGGATTGTGTGAACATGTTGAAATTATGGAAGTCCTTTTGCTGCTTCTCTTTTGCTCTTCCTTTCTGTTTCTTCATATTTCTCCATTATTATATGTTCTTGCTTTTGTTTTATTTTTCCCTGTGGCACCCTGCACTCTTAATAAACCTAGATCCAAGTTTCCAAAAGTAAATATGTTATTTTGGATGATGAAGTTCCAGCTAAAGGAACCTTCATAGCAAATGGCTATGAAAAAGACCAAAGCACTCATCCTTAAGGTAGCTCTGATGCAATGTAACAAAGCAGAAGACACTACAATTGCTGCTTACTTTAAGAGACTTTAAGAGATGTAGGCAATAGCTTTCATATAATCTTGAATCAGAAATACCACTGCTGGTGTAGTATGTGTAAACAGTGGTTTTCTTGCTGATATTTCCTACCTGTAAGAGTCTTTTCTACCACCACAATCATGTTTGCCATGTTCAGATTTGTGTAAGAGTCTCTCTCATTCTTCTTGCCTATTTCAGAAGTGGTTCTCAGCTTTTTGGTCCTTTTGCTTTAGGTTTTCAAAACCAGCAGTTGATCGGTAAATTCTCTATTAAAGTTTGGATGGGAGGCACTTGTCTGAACTCTATTGTTGGCTTTGAAAATTTCTAGTGTTTTGGGGTTGTTTTTCCCCCCAGGTACATAATCTATAATTCTATATATACTTCTGCTTTATCCTTCTAGTTCTACTGTATCTGAATCCCTACGGATGGGTTTTAAAATTTGCTATAGAAAAATCAGAAATAGTGACCATGTGGTCCTTGTTTCAGTTTGTCTTTCTGTCTTGGGTGTGTGTGGAAGGGGGCTGCAAAGTGCTTGCCGAGTACAGCTCCACTGCAGATGCAGTGTGGATGGGAGACTGCGTAGCTGTTTGGCTACAGCCTAGAACTTCCCAGCAAACAGGAAACTGCTGGCAGCAGGAGGAGATGTTATGGCAAGAAAGGGTGATCCTCATAGTACTGCCAAGAGACACTCACCTAGGTTTCTCCCATTAGCCTGAGCAATTCTGGATCGGTTCTTGTTTTTATGCTCTGCAATGTGAAGGATGGTGAATTCAGGTTCTGTTTTCCACAGACTAGAATGGCAGGGCCTGCAAATTGGAGCTGGCAAAGGTGGGAGCAAAATGATGCTTAGACACTTTTAGGCAGTGTGGAGAGATGGTGACAACATGTGGACTAACTTCTAATTGATAAGAGGAACATTTTTGTTTACATCATTGCAACTGGAAATGTTTGTTTAGCTGGAACAATTATTTTTGGTAGATTTATTAATTGCAAGCAAAGTCAGTAGCACTGCTCAGAGTAAATATATCTGTCAGTACCTACTATAACAAATTGTTTTCTTTATAGCTTCTCTAAGCTTTAATTGTTTTGCCTGAAATTTTTCATGGTAAGATTCAGTCTTTGACTGATTCTTTCTCTCTTTCTTTTAGTTAAAACTTAGACAAAAGCTCATTGTTTCTGAAGACAAGATTTGTGGGAAATGTGCTGCTTTAAATTAAAAAAAAAAGAAAATAAATCCAGCAGTTGTATCCTGAGGCATTTTAGTGCTGGTAGTGGAATGAACTTCATTGGAATGAAGTTTTGGAGACTCGACATTTAATAAAGTGTCACAATAATACCAGGGAGATGCCTTTGCTGTCTTGAGATAAGTACTCCTGAGTTTGCCCTGCTCATGAGGTTGTTCATGCACTTTGGAGACACCTCAGGTTCAAAAGCTTTGCTTTCAGAAGTTTCTGTCTGCACATGCTCATGGAGGTGTTATGCCCCTCTGCAGTGCGAGAAGTGATTTGAAAAAGTGAAAGGAGTAGAAGCAGAAAGAGAGTGTGTGCAGGAACTTGGGGAGCAGAGTTAGGGGGTGGGAGCTGACAATTGGGAGCGCAGGGGAGATACAGATGTCTGGGAAATCAGATTCTCATCTGATACAGGAGGACATGGATTGCAGATAGGTAAGAGGTGAGTGAGACAGTAAGGGACATGGAGGAAAGAGTCTGTGGCTGCTTCTGTCCTGAATCTAGAGGCAAGCTCTGAAGTTTAGACACTGCCTCACTTACTGCCAGGCTGGAAAGTGTATAGTAAATGAGGCAGGGGATTGCAGTAGAAAAAGCAAGGTATTATTACAGTAAAGGCAGTTGAATGCTGCTCTGGAGGGTTGGCTTCTCCCCTCATTTTCTCCAACAGAAGTTCTGAATGATGCAGATTTACAACAAACTTTCCAGAAATGGCCAGTAACAATGGGCTTCTTATTCTACGTATGGCCACTGTGAAGTAGAATGGGTTCCTGGGAGGCCATTGCAAGACGACTTTGAAAGAGTGGAGGGCTGGAAACCAAGAAACAGGCAACCTTATTATGCAAATAAAAAGATAGGTTAAATTATTTCAATCAATGAAAAAATAGAAAAAAATATGTGATCTAAAAGTAATGATGATATTTAGTGCTGGTTTTGATCACAAGCTATTGGAGTGAATATTAATTTGTATGTGATGGTTTTGAAGCAGGAGTCTTTCTAAGAGAAAATTACTTATGTTTTTGTTTTTAATTAAGAAAGCTTCCTATTAGTTAATTTTCAGGTGGCTTTTGATTAATAATATTTTATGTTTTACTCCATTTCTGATGGCTTTTTGATGTGTGAACGATTTGTGGAGTGGGCAGGACATGAAACAGTGTCTTGTTACAGCACCCAGGAGCTGGGGCAGGTAGCTTAATAGGGACATCAAATTAGTGTGAACAGTGCATACAAAAGAAAAACAACAGGAAGACAATTACTTGGAGTACTGGTGCTTGAACATGAAGAGAGCGAAGTATTCTGGTTTGGTTCCACTGAAAATGTTTTTGGATTCCTCCTTTAAACATGAATTGGATCATCTTCCTGATTTATCCTACAGTTAAATGGTGCAGTGAGATGGGGATGAACATTCCTTCATTGCCTGCTGTAAGCGTTCATGGCTGGCCAGGTATTTCTCTTCCTAGTTACATTTTTGTCACCCTGTTATGTAATGAAAGCTGAGAAATTAAATAAAATAAAAACCTCAACAGCATACAAAATTGAAAAGATGACTATACGCTGGTAGAAGTTTGACCTACATCTTTTAATTAAAGTCATTAATTTTCGCATTGTTTGGGGCTGTAAGAACCACTTTTTTAGCATCTGTCCAACTGCTAGCGGCACTGTCTGAATTGAATGCATGGCTTGTGAAGGGTGGGTGAAGGTTGGCCAAAATGCCATCTGGTCCTGTCAGGAAGAGGAAGAAAAGATGCCTGTAGAGGCTGGAAGGTGGCTGCAGCCTTTTACACCAAATAGACATTAATTAGCTAATAATACCACCCAGGCACTGCTTTATGAGGCAATAATAGCCTAGCTACTGAGAGGAAAGAAGAAAACAGCTAAATGCCAAATGTTTTAACTCAGCTACAGGAATCAGATCATTGCCCAGGAAATCAGTGCAGATGTTACAGGGTGGTTTAGGCTTTGGTTTTATGTTATTTATTTATTATTTTTTGTTTTTCCCAAGAGAAATATTAGTGTGGTACAAGGTGAGAAGAGCATCAGGGTTGCAAATTTGCATGCAGAAAGGAGAAGGAATGCTCATCTAGTGAAAGTCAAGAAAATATAAAGAGACTTTAGACATGCTAGGGAGGAGCTGCTGCCTATTGGTAGCGAACCTTTAAAATTTCACAGGTTGGTGGAAACTTGAAAAATCAAAATGTTTCCCCAAAACACTTGCATTGGAAAACACAGTATCAGCTCTTAAACAGGCTGATAGTCTGCCCTTGTATGTTTGATAGCAAAATCTGAATTAGTTTCCTGGTTCAAATCTAGTTCAAGCTGCCTTTTTAAGATAGATAGAGTGAAGCTTGTACGTTTTAACCAGCTATTTGGACAGCTGTACAAATTACTTTCCATTGTTCAAAATCCCAGATGAGGCTCCATCAGTACTGATTGCTTTCAAACAGTTTTCATTTGAGTGAAGGCATAAATAGCCATCTCACCTTCACTGTATGCTCCTGTGTAGTCCTTAAAAGAAAATGAGAGCATAACAAAATTCAGTGTCTGTTTATGCTCAACTCTTCCTTTTCTTTCTCTTCTGTTATCTTAGATACCTTCACAAGTAGCTTGCCAAGGCACCATTCTCACTCCCTTGAAGTGGAGCATGAGAAAATTTGTCTAAAGCAGCTCTTCACCTCTCACTAGGAAAGTGATATTAAAATGGAGAGGGTGTTAGTGAAAGGAAAGATGTGAACTCGAAGAGGAGGAAAAGTGATGTAAAGAGAACAGAATGGTTCAGGGAAAGGCACACACGGCTTAAATAGGGAAAGTATTTTGAAGAAATAAAAAAAAAGAAGAATCTGACAAATAGATAAGAAATTGGTTTAAGGGAAAGTAAATTCCCTGAGTGAGACTGAGTGGGCAAAAGTGGTGCATCTCAGTGTGGGGTCCGGTCCTGTGTTTTGAAAGCTCTCTCTATTGTCAGCATGATGCAGTCACAATATGTAAAATCTTGTGCACATTCCAGACAGAGACTACAATTTGTCTGCCATTAGGAAATCTTTCCTTCTCTTGCTGCTTAAATCTTCTCCTACCTTTATTTCTAGAGACCTTCTTGACAAAGACAGCTCTAGTTCCCAGGTGTGGTAAAAGAATGCGCTTCATGTACTTTATGCCCCTCTTGTGGATATTAATTCACTCCAGATACTTCAAGATTTTAGCCTCCTTCATTGTTTTTAGAGATTTTTCAGTGAGGAATAAAGAAATAATTATTGGTTTCCTTTGGAAATCTACCTTGAGGATATGTGCCTGTGGATCTAAAGATGTAATTCTGCCCTTCTCATTCCCTTAAAAACTTACAATGTAACAATGAAAGGCTAGCAGAATTTTGGTATTGCTTGAATAAGT